ACACCCCCAGCCTCTTAGCCTTCCTTCCAGTCTATATCTAATGGTTTTCAAAAAGTATTCCAGGGAGCCCTGGAGTCCTTAGTAGGGGCCTCAGGTGTCCTGGCTGGAGGTGGGAGCACATTTGCAAGGATGAATTATGGACCTGTCTTAAGGTTCCCACATCCACCCCACCCTCAGCCAAATCCCTAGGGACATCATGTAATTTTTTTACACCAGTCCTTTCAAAATATATCCTTTCATTTATTTGCATTCTTTGGTATAAACTATCTAGTCTTAACTCTCTCCTCCTATTGAAGAATCTCCCCAAACAACACATTTTAAAGAATGACCTTCTCTCTTTCATGCCCATTAAATGACACCTACACATAGGCATACACATCAACTTAAGTATCATCAAGGACACCCTGAACATTCAGTTTGATTGAAAGGGTTGTAAACACTCCTGGTTCCTAAACTGTAATGCGTCTGAGTTTCCACCTGCCAAGGGAAGCCTCAGAGACCACCAGGATGGATTTTAGGAACACCTTTGCTCCCTGGCACCTCCTCCCATTAACAAAAGCTGACCAGAAACAGCATGAATCCTAAGTCAACTAACAGAACAAATTAAACCAACAAATAAGTGAAACAAATGGTAAGCTGTAGGAAATATCTTATTATAAAACAAAGCTTCCTTTCTCATTTCTCTGGCCCCCAACTCCACCCACAAGCAAGGTATGGGGCAGGCAAACATAAAACACAAACCACACAGAGGAGCCTTGATGGCTCAAATACTTTGACAAATACCTTTGCAACAGAAAATATCCTAAGAAACTTAGAAGAACTAATTATAAGGAAGAAAAAGCAGGAGGGTAATGAATATAATTTAGATAGCAAACATCCGTCCTTCCTTCCCGCCTCTGAACTCCCTGGGCTGATGGCCTCTCCTTAACCTTCATCTTCAGCAAATAAAAGGTCATGTAAACCAAGCTAGGGTTCCTGAAGATTTTAGAATAATATTTATTACTATTTTTCAAAAAGCCTTTGGCATAATTTTTTTGGGGGGAGGGTTGGAATGCATTTATACGACTGAACTTGAGGCATGCTAGAAACATCGGAAGCCCACTCCCAGCCCACCCTGAGGACAAATCGCTCATTGTCCAGATGCCCTTACATGGCCAGACTTCCTATAAGTCTGACAGCTCAGTGTATGCATTGCGTACAGGTTTTGGCTCTGAGTCACATTCCTCCAGTATGTTTCCCTGGGAGCTTTGATTTCCGCTTTGAGGGCTGGCACTAACTCCTGCTTGCTCTTATAAGAAAATGTCTACAAGTAAAAGTTGAAAATGTGCAAGATTCCTTCTTTAAATACACAAACACTCCAAGTCTGGCCACTTTCCTGTAGTCCTGCCAGGTTTTCTCTCTGTCTGATATCTGATCAAGCAACCTTTTTTTTTTTTAATGGACAGGATGCCTTTATTTTATCTGCTTATTTTTATGTGGTGCTGAGGACCGAACCCAGTGCCTCACATGTGCAAGGCAAGCCCTCTGCCACTGAGCTACAGCCCCAGCCCAAGTAACCTTTTTTTTAGGGAAAGAAAACAAAAAAAGCATAAGGGAAAGAATGTAGTACATTCACAGCAGAATATCTTACAAGATTTAGCTTAATGACATGCACCAACCATGCCCTAGTAGACACACACATACCTTATATAGTTTGGTAAACGACTCAGTGGCCAGTTTAGTGAATTCCTCATTTTACCGGGGTTGGGGAGTGGGGTTCTTTCTAAAAAAGCATCTGCTACTAAATACTTGGCTTACAAGTCAAAATTAGTGCATCTTCACCATTTTGCACCCAAATTCAAAGAGCTTTTTCTCTCCCATTCTGACCTACTGTCACTCAAAAGGGTTGGGATAAGTCAGAGTTGGACGAAGTTATAAGAAGCCACTATTTCCACTTTACCGCCCAGGCGCACACAAACATTTGCTGAGTCATTTATAATAGTGCAAGAATTCAGATGCCATGGCATGAATTGAGGACGGAGTGTCCGCCTTTCCCTCTGAGTTTCCTGGCACCCAATGGTCTGTAACACAATAAAAACATACTTTCTAGTCTGTGAATGTCTTGAGTGTCTTCTCTCATTCTTTCTCTCTCTAGGTGTGTGTGCGTCTGTCTCTCTGTGACTTTCTTAATAATGATCTCTTCTATCAACGCTTTTCAAATGAATTTTGATCATAAAGCCTCAATCTATATTTTATTCTGAAATTTCACATGTTCTCTACATTTCAATATACATAGTTTCTCTTAGCCAGTATTATATAAGTCCGAAGCTCACTACAGACTTATTGAGACTTTGAGAGGCAACTTGAATTTTGAGGTAAAACCAAATTTTTTATAATGTCTTGATATTTTTAACAATGGTGCAGAATGGTAACATATTTATGTGGGTAGAGAGAGAATTAAGAAAGATAAAAATAAGCAAATTTGTATCAATTCCTTGAGAATTTTAATCTCAAGAATTTTAATCTATTTAACTCTCATTGAACCCTAAAAAATTAAAATTTTTTTACTACCTTCATTTTATAAAGGGAAACTTGTTGTGACTTCTCTCAGACTAGTGAATGGCAGGTCCAAGAATACCACCCAAGTCACCCACCTATAACCCAGTTCAGCAACTTATCCCATTCATAAATGAGTCTCCTGCTGTGTGCATGAAACTACTGGAGGTGGCTCTCAGACTCTCCTGAGGTTTCAAATATTCCCCAACTGCTTTCCCATCTCCCTTACACTGCAAGCTAGAGAGCTCACCACAAAGCCCACATCCCATGTTAGGTGAGGCTACAGCTTCACATCCCTCCCTTTCCCCCGTCCACCCCACCTTTCCAACCATTAGTGGTACATATAATTGGGGGTTTAGGCCTTGAAAGATTTCACTGTGGCTTCCCACATATTTCAAACTTTTAAAATCATCCACAAGGGAAGAAAAAGTTGGGGGCCAAGTTGCCTTTAATACACATGTGGCTATTAACATAACTTGGAATGTTCCTTCTTTAAATAGGAACTAGCAGGCCTCTTCTCTTTGAGGAATGCTTGGAAAGAACATTAAATGACAATGATGAAAATTCTTCCTGAGCTTCAGAGGCCCCTTGCTGGCCATTCACACTGTTGACATGCAACTGCACTGTACAACATGTGGCTTGCTTAACGAGGTAATTGAGCACAGATGATGTGGTATGTGCTCAAGTTGAAGTGCCCTCCCCCAACCAACCCTTGGCTATTTTTCAATAGAATGAAGTGAAAAAAAATAAATAAATAAAAAATTGGCCAGTTTAAACAGGCTGCTTTCAAATTATAATTCTATCATGTGTTGTTTCTAAAGTATGTCTTTGCATCAGAAACAGAATATAGGTGTACTTAACCTTACACCTATATTCTGAAGCATCGTCAACTGAAAGAAATCCACTCATTGATAACACCAATGTGAAGTGATATGGCAGGGCCCCAGAATCACACTCTTTACATAAAATGGTAATTGGAGCTATTAACAAAAAAGCCAGGAAACAAAATAAATTCTAAATGAATACACAGTTAATTGGATCCTTACTGAAGCTAAGCAGCAATATCAAGAAACAGAGATAAGTTTGACATCTGCATACAACAGAAGAAATAAGACTTATTCCTTCTATAATTTTACCTTGCTGCATTAGGCCACGCTCTATTAGAGGTCACAATCACTTAGTCACAGATGTGAGGGGAGTCACTAAAAATATATTATTCACTGACAGTTTATAGCCAGACACAAGAGGGATCAGTGTTCTTGTTACATAATCAATTTTCTTGCTTCTAGACAAACCAAGTCCAACTCACATTTGAAGATTACAGGTTTTAGTGTAAGTAAAATCATCCCTTCTCCAAGACTTCAGCACAGCTGTGTTTAAGATGCCCCAAATGAACTCCAAGCTTCTGGCTGGCCTCCTCCTGTCTGCTTCTCTCACCTCCCATCCCTTCCTAACACTCAGAGCTTCTACCTACCCATAATCCTTTCTCTAATATAACAATAGACCCATTTTTCTGGAAATACCCATGCCCATCAACCCCTTTCCCTCTCTACCTCCCACCAAAAAAAAAAACCACCACTTCTGTATGTATTAAGAGAAAATCAAGTCAGAGTGCTGAAAATCTCCCCCATGAACTTGCATCCTTACTCAGACCCCTGGCTTTGTTATTCTTGTCTGGCTGTGGGCCACCAAACCATTATCTGGAGTTACAAAGGATCAAATTCCTCTATTTTAGATAAAGAATTCAGGGTTTTGCAGGTAGGCAACTTGGGGATTTCAAATGATTAGAAGCAACTTTCTGCTCTCTATAGAGTTTCAAGAGCCTACAGCCTCTTAAACATAAATCATTATTTAAAAAAAAAACAGCAAAAAAAAAAGAGAAAGAAAACTCTTTTGAATTTTTTTTTTTTTGAATCCCTGGTGTTTACTTTTTCAGTTACCTACCTTCTAAAAAGGATTTATATTAGTGGATAGTATAGGGCAAATTTCTTAAGCCAAATTTCTTTAAGGCATAAAAATAACAGCCCTTGTGTTTTTAAATGATATACAAGTCAGGAGTGGTGCGAAAAGGATCGGGAAAAAATCCTATTTGGTGCTGGAAATACTTTTTTTTTTTTTTTTTTTTTCTGGTGAGCTGAAGTGTGCCAGCTTTTTCAGACGGAGGAATGCTGAGTGTCAAGGGGTCAGGATCAATCCGGTGTGAGTTGATGAGGCAGGAAGGTGGGGAGGAATGCGAGGAATGTCCCTGTTTGTGTAGGACTCCATTCAGCTCATTGGCGAGCAGGGCCGTCCTGAGCGTATAAAAGCCTCGGGCCGCCCGCCCCAATCTCACACAACAACTCTTCCCCACTGAGAGGAGGCAGCCAGTGCAACTCCAACCTCAGGCGACCCACCGCCTCCAGCCCGACGGCAGCCGCCCCGGCCGACAGCTCCAGAGACCACAGCCGGCGCGTCCAGGCACCCACCTGCGCTCAGAGCTCGCTCCCGGCTCCGGCCCACCGCGCCCCTCGCCGTCGCCGCGCACTGCGTCCCGCCGCCCGCTCCGATCGCAGCGCCCTGACCATGGCCGCCGCTGTGGGACCGGTCCGCTTCGCCTTCGTGCTCCTCCTCGCCCTGTGCAGCCGGGTAAGCACCGGGAGTCCCCGCCGCGGCTGCTGGGGAGGGCGTCGGACGGCTGGGTAGGGAAGGATGGAGGGAGGAGGGCCGGCCCCGTGGCGCCGAGGGCGTGCGCACCCAGCGAGCGAGAAAGCACCGGCTGACTGCCCCTTTCTCCCTGCAGCCGGCCACCGGCCAGGACTGCGGTGGGCAGTGCCAGTGCGGGACAGCGCCGGCGCCTCGCTGCCCCGCCGGCGTGAGCCTTGTGTTGGACGGCTGCGGCTGCTGCCGAGTCTGCGCTAAGCAGCTGGGCGAACTGTGCACCGAACGCGACCCCTGCGACCCGCACAAGGGCCTCTTCTGTGACTTTGGTTCCCCAGCCAACCGCAAGATTGGCGTGTGCACCGGTAAGATCCGCAGCCCCCGCCCCTTTCCTTTCCCACCCGCCTGCTGGAAAAAGAATCCGCTCCAACCCAGTCTTTTCTGCAGCCCGCCCCATGCAGCCCTGATGGGCTTACTGTTAGAGCACCTGGAGCTGAAGCCTGACCTCTCACCTCCATTGCTTTTTCCCCCTTGCTCTCTGCAGCCAAAGATGGTGCCCCATGCGTCTTCGGCGGGACTGTGTACAGGAGTGGAGAGTCCTTCCAGAGCAGCTGCAAGTACCAGTGCACTTGCCTAGATGGAGCGGTGGGCTGCGTGCCCCTGTGCAGTATGGATGTTCGCCTGCCCAGCCCTGACTGCCCCTTCCCAAGAAGGGTCAAGCTGCCTGGGAAGTGCTGTGAGGAGTGGGTGTGTGATGAGCCCAAGGACCACACCGTGGTTGGCCCTGCCTTGGCTGGTGAGTTGAATCTTCCTCTAAGTCAGTGTTGTCATTCTCCTCCAGGGCTGAATGCTGACAATGCCAAGAAAAGGGGGAAATTGTCTTATCCGGGCATTTTACCTTGTGTTTGTGTGCTCTACTTTCACAGCCTACCGTCTGGAAGACACCTTTGGCCCAGACCCAACTATGATGCGAGCCAACTGCCTGGTCCAGACCACAGAGTGGAGCGCCTGTTCCAAGACCTGTGGGATGGGCATCTCCACCCGGGTTACCAATGACAACGCCTTCTGCAGGCTAGAGAAGCAGAGTCGCCTCTGCATGGTCAGGCCTTGTGAAGCTGACCTAGAAGAGAACATCAAGGTTTGTTTTCTGTTCCTGTTAGCTCGTTTTCATGGAATGACAGTGAAGGGGACCAAAGTTAGGTCTCTTGCCACCCTTGTTATTATAGATCTGTTATCTCCAAAAATATCTAACCATGGAGCTGTTTTGCTGGAATGAGAGATTGTGTAATAGGAGCCGCCAGTTTTCCACTACAAAAACCTCCCCAGTGTTAGTTAATTCAAGACATTCCAAGAGACTCCATGACTATTTTTGGAAAACTGGCAAATGAAACTCAAAGTTTCTGTCCTCAAATATAAACATAAGTTCAGACAACTTAAGGCTAGAACACAGGGTTGAGGAAAGCCACTCTTCCTGTAGTAATGATGTTTCTTCTCTTCCTTGTCTTCCATAGAAGGGCAAAAAGTGCATCCGTACCCCCAAAATCTCCAAGCCTGTCAAGTTTGAGCTTTCTGGCTGCACCAGTGTGAAGACATACAGGGCCAAATTCTGTGGTGTGTGCACAGATGGTCGATGCTGCACCCCTCACAGAACCACCACCCTGCCTGTGGAGTTCAAGTGTCCTGATGGTGAGATCATGAAGAAGAGCATGATGTTCATCAAGACTTGTGCCTGCCATTACAACTGCCCTGGAGACAATGACATCTTTGAGTCACTGTACTACAGGAAGATGTATGGAGACATGGCGTAAAGCCAGAGAGTGAAAGACATGAACTCATTCGACTGTAACTTGAACTGATTCACATCTCATTTTTATGTAAAATGATTTCAGTAGCACAAGTTAATTTAAATCTGTTTTTCTAAGTGGGGGAGAAAAATTCCCACCAAATTCAAAATATTGTGCCATGTCATACAAATAGTCTCTCAATCCCAGACACTGGTTTGAAGAAAGTTAAGACTTGACAGTAGGACTGCAGTAGCACACAGTGCCTGAATGTACACTAAAGGGTGGCTTCAGGAGAAGTGGAGACACCAGTAGGAAGCCTAGTACTATCAGATTGCATCTTAAAGTTGTAATGTGCCTGCAACTTGGAATGTAATTGAGAAGGAAAATTTTAGCATACTTGCTGACCTGCCTGTAGTTCCAGCAACAGCTAGGATCTGCATTCTCCAGCCATTGTGAGGCTGAGTCAAGTTGTTCTTTAAGTCAGAACAGAGATTCAGCCCCGACATTCTGATTCAAATGACAGTGTTTAGGAATCAGAAACCTGTCTATTAGACTGGACAGCTTGTGGCAAGTTAATTTGCCTGTAACAAGCCAGATTTTTTTTTTATTGATACTGTAAATATTGTGGATATATATATTATATATATATATTTGTACAGTTATCTAAGTTAATTTAAAGTTGTTCGTGCCTTTTTGTTTTTGTTTTAATGCTTTGATATTTCAAATGTTAGTCTCAAGTTCTGAACACCATAGGTAGGACGTGAAGCTTATCTGATAATTCAAAGCCTGAAATGAATATTAAAGTGGAAATTGTAATCAGTTAGAGTGGCAGTCCATCAAAACAGATGGTTTGCTGAAGGTGAGGTAGCAATGTCCTTAGAAATCTGGTTTCTAGACAGGAAATGTGGTAGCCTCACTTTCAGTGACCAATGGCCTTTATTGGAAAATGACTGACTCTATATAATTCTATAGGTCAGTTTTCCACCTAGAAGCATTTGTTATTTTGACTATGACTGTTTTTTGGACAGTTTATTTGTTGAGAGTGTGACCAAAAGTTACATGTTTGCACCTTTCCAGTTGAAAATAAAGTATATATTTTTTCTACAAAGGACTTGGCTCTTGGTTTATTCTTGGAAATGGTTCTGAATTTTCTTGAGTATAAATGGGCAATTTTGGTTTATCTTAAGATAACAAAATTATCCAAAAATTTTCTAAATACCTTTTATCACATATAGTAATAAATTGGTTAATCAATAGAATTGTGAATAAAAATACTTCAGACTCAGTCAAGTTTCACAGGCTTGCAGTTACACACATCATATTGAGGACACAGGCTTTTTTTTGTTTGTTTTTTATTTCCACAGTACATCATGAACAGTTTAAATTCAATTCTTTATGGATGACTTTAGTCTCCTCTAATCCTTGTGGTATTATAACTGGTCCTTTTTGCATTTAGTATGTCTCTGATTATTGTGGAATAATTCCATATCATAAACTAGTTTGCCTTGCATATGGAAATATTAAGATATTTTCCTAAATTGTATGCTCTACTGTGGGTTTACTTATGAATTTTAATATCTTACTCTTAAATATTTAAAATACACTATGAAATATATATTAAAATGGAGACATTTAATAAGTCATCTTGCATAATTATGTTTCCAGCTGTCCTGGTAACCAATTACAAATAATGGCATAAATGTAAAAAAGGAAAAGTCAGTCTTCATTCATTAACATTAGTTAAAATTTGTCTTCATTTAAGAGCAATTTCTTAATTTGCCCAAGTCTTTGACTTTATCAGACCTCCAGATCAATGTATCCTACATTACCAAATGGTTTATAAGAGATAAAATGAAATTATTCAAGAACCCTAACATAAAAACTGTATTGGATCTACCCAGGCCTCTACTGAAAGAGGAACCAAAGTGAATGCAAACTAAAGAAATGCTTCAAAGGCAACCAGGAGTCCAATTCTTTTTTCAGATAAGACTAGCTGTGGATTCCAGGGAGGAAGGGGGGAAAAAAAATTGGAGACAGACTAACTGTCCCAGGGTAATTAGCAATTTTGTAGTCATTCTGAGAGACAAAAATACACCTGAAAATAAAGACTAGTTCTACAAATAGTGACCACAGCACAAACCAAAGGAAAAACTTCCCTTGTTCAAAATGCAAAAGGTATTTCTGGTTACAACACTGGGTTTTCAGGGTACAACCACATGTGTATATAGCAATGCTGTCAGCAGCAGAACTCCTTCCCCAAATAAACCTACATGCGCGCGCGCGCGCGCGCGCGCGCACACACACACACACACACACACACACACACACACAGTACATTGTTAGTTCACATTTCCTTTCTGTTGATTACTAGCTGCAAAAATGAAGGGTTGTGGTAAATGAGCCCAACTATTCCAAAAGAAATCAGAGAATTCTGGAAACATAGAAGCAGTATTGGAAGCATAGAGTTCAGATTTTCCAAATCCCCACCTAAAAACAGGGTAATCAGATTGCATAACCAAAATCCCATAAGCAATATTTACAATGCAATTAGGAGATAAGACACCCCCTGGAATGAAGACAATCAACCACCAAAGGCCTGCACTGTGTCAGCATGTGTGTGAGGAAGAGCAGAGGACACACAGAGTATCTGATGCTTCTAAAAAATGAGAGTCCCCAAAGCAGCCAGCAAGTATTCACTACAAGTACAGGTGGCCAGTTTGAGAACAGCACTGAAACCAGTAGGAGTTTGACATTTCCAACAAAACATTTAAGTCAGAGCTTCTTTCCATGAGAGGATACCCACAACTCTTATGAGTAGAATTAAAATTAAGCAAGTCAGAGAGAGCAGACATTGAGAAAAATGATTCAGATAAAAATAAGAACAGAAGTTTAAAATCTCCCCCAACCCTAGTACTGGGGATTGAACCCAGGGGTGCTTTACCACTGAACTATGTCCCCAGTCCTTTTTATTGATTGATTGATTGATTGATTGAGACAGGGTTTCACTAAAATGCTGAGACTGGCCTCTAACTTGGGATCCTCCTGCCTCTGTCTCCCAAGTCACTGGAATTATAGGTGCATACCACCACGCCCACTAAACAGCCATGTTTTTTTTTTTAATACTGCAACAAAAGAGGCGTCTCTGTGAATTTAAAAGAGCTATCTATAG